TTCATACTCAGCCTCAGGAGGATGGCCCGGATGGCCTGTCCGGACGCCACCGGGCTCACGATGAAGACCGCCATGGTTTCTGGTCGCACAGCCGCTAGGGCAAAGTTGAGGCCTGTGAAACGAAGGAGTGGTGACGCGGCTCAGGAAGCAGAGCATGCCGTACGCTCTGTTCATCTGCCTGATGTTCAGCGCGTGACCTGCAAATGTGGCTGCGTGAGTCGCGAGGTAGATGGTGCTGGCCGTAGTGAGCTAAGTAGTTCTGGAGGAGATCCCAGATATAGTCAAGGGGTTGAAAACAACATACCCCTAAAAGCAGGCATTTGGAATTGGGAGGTACCCCTGGTTGGCATTGAAGACTTCTAAGAAAGTTTGCCTGGTGGTGGAGGATGGGCTTTGGTTGCTTCCCGAGGCTAAATGAATACCAATACTGGTCCCCATGAGCCATGGTGGAAACTTCGTGTTTTCCGTAAAGGACCTGGGAAAATCCGTGAGTCTGGTTCTTGACATTTTCATGCGTCCCCCATATTCCCAAATGGACCATCTGGGCATACCGAACCTATGGCTATGTGCGACCCCAAGCCTAGTGGTTTTCCCTGTGAAGCCGAAAACAAGTACCCAGGTTGAAAACGGATACGCCCAGCTGGCTCTAAACAGCAAGTCCAGAATCTTGGCCCGTCTTTGGTTGCCGTCCTCAGCCCAAATCTGGACGCGAAGAATCAACCCAGGAATTACGCAAGAAGAGAATCTTCAACAAACCCGATTTTGGGTTGTATGCTGTTCTTGCGGGGCAGTCTCACCAGTTGGATCTTCCACACAGTTGTTCAGCGACCCTGGAAAAAAAGGGAACCCTTTTTGGGGCTTGGACCATTTTTAGTGGGGCCACAAACAAATTGGGGAAAAGAATGGGTGCCACTGAACAACTGAGTAAATCTATACAAATGGCCTAACAAAAATAAGTTTGTCGAAACCCCCAGCCATCAGCTTCATTGCAACTGGTGGCTTGGATGGGTAGCGGATTGGTGATGCTTGATGCTTGAGGGGGTTTGCCATCTACCCTTTCCAGGGATCCTTCTTTAAAGAGGAAACCATGCAACCCCTAGATCCAAGGGTCCACCAATTTTGTTTCAGGAAACCATTCAACCACTAGATCCAAGGGTTACCTGAAAAGTCGAACCCTCAGTGAGTCGTGTGATCTGAGGCCCTGTCGAGCGATCTGTTCCGCGTCTGGGCTCAGCTCTGGGAGTTCCTGGGACAGGCGCGAAGCATGTCTAGGTCCTCCAGATTTGAGAGGTTGAAGAGGTTGGTACCCGATGTTTTTCTCCAGATTTGGAGATTAGAATAAGTTGGTACCAACTTTTTTCTGTAGTCTATTTTAGTAGGGGAACCCTCCCCCCAAAAAAGTTGGTGCAAGTTGGCACCTAGCTGGGGGACCTAGATGTAGAACATGCCCATCCCATACTCCACATGAGCGGCTCGTCATTTTTTTGGGGGACCGCCAACATGTGTTCATTGGATTCCCTTCAAACCCACCAAAAACAGGTACTCTCGAAAGAAGACACACCCCAACACTCCCTGCAGATCAACCCTGCCCTACTCCAAATACGCTCTCTTTTGGTAGCTATATTTTGAACAACCAGGCTTTCCATGGCAACAAATTCCCTCGTTTGGTCGTGGTAAACTAAACACGTCCTCGTCTTAGTCAAGGGTTGGCATCATGCCCTTCTAACACGGGTCTGTCCAAAAAAGACAACATGTTGCGCCCCATGAAGAATACAAAGCTCAGATGGCTTTTGCCCAAAGCGGGGGTGTCTGGCAGACCCAATTCCAGCAGATTGCCCCAGATACAGATTCAGATACCTCATAACTCCAAAGCCAACTTGTTTGAGGGTATGATGTCAACCCCTGACTGCAAAGGAGTTGTCGCTATAGAAAACCCGGTTTTTCAATAAGCCCAGGTGGTATCCCGAACAGCATCCCCTTGTACCCCTTCGCTCCGGAGCACTACGGAGCATATCGCACAGACCCCATAGCCTTCAGCTGGGAATATGGGGGGCATGGGGCGGATCTGGAAGCTGTTCCCAAGGTGGATCCCCTAAGAAAACTGGCACAGCTCGGACAAGTGATCCGCATCCCCTTCTTGAAGCTGCATGAGGGATGGCTTGTTTTTATTTTTCCCCAGATCTGGGCTGGGGATGCAACCTGGGCAAATTGTTTGGCAACAATCAAGCAGGGTTTATAAATGACCACATTGCCCGTACCCCCTTTAACTACCCGGCCTTTTTCGGGAATGAACCTGGCCAAACACAGGAAGTAACCACCTTACACCCTCTACTCCCAAGAGCCCACACTGTTTTGGTCACATCTCTGAAAATCATGGTCTTCTCATTGTAAATGCCTCCCTTAGTCAGGGCTGCACATGATACCCTTAGAAAGCATGGGTATTTGGCCTGTCCAGTCTATGAAGCGCCCACGAGCCGACGCCTGGCAGATGCGCAGCATGACTTCCGGCGACATGCGCTCCCTCTCGCCCGGCAAAAGCCTGTCGCATCAGTCTCTGCGGAAAGATCTGCAAAGGGCACCCTCCCACCCCATGGAAACCTCACGCTCGGGGGCTCCGGGAAGACAAGTTTCCTAAAGGGACCTCGGGGGCTGGAAGACCATTTTCCCAGAGGCATCGCCCTGTCAGGCTCCATGTAAAAAGGCTGGGAGGGTACAAGTCCAACGCCGGACTGTGAGAGTTCGATGCTCAAGGACCTACGGACCTTGGGTTTTTGCACAAATGTTAACCTCCCCAATCGCTTGGATCGTCGGGAAAGATCCGTCCCATGGGGGTTCCCATGACTGGCAAGGAGGATTAACTTTTTGGACCCAGTTTGCCAACTCAGCCTTGCATCGGTTTCCAGATGCCTGATCCAACCCAGCTGCTTGAAAAGCTGAACTTTTTGTGGTCCCAGCCAAGAAAAGAAACGAACTCGACACTTGACAGTTGAACAGTTTGGCATCTGCTGGCGCGGATACTAGGAAACCAGCTAGAACAAAAATGCAGGACTCCACTATTGATCCCATCAAAAGGACATCCTCAAATTTGAGGTAAAAATACCTGCTCTGGCCCACATTTGACATGCCCATACCCATACAGTAGAGTCCCGTTGGGTTTGCAGACTCAAACCATGGCATCCAATTCGATGGGTCAGTATCCCGCATCCCATACGAACAATCAGTTCCAAAGTCGAAGTTTCTCGATCCGGTGCTCAATATGGTGCTACATAAGCAAATTCGAGGATTTTCCCTGCCAGCCATGTGATTTCTGCACATTGCGCGAGACGAAAGCCAGGCGAAGCTAGACATGCCATTAAGTGCGCATGCTTTTGTGTCTGTGGTCCGTCTGTCGGTCTCTCCGTCTGCCTCTCTGTAGTTTTGTCCCAGAAAGAAGGACGCCCTTTCAGATGTGCTGAACGGGAAACCAACATGGACCTGATCATTTATGGTGTCCAGTAGGACACTCATGCAACTGTCGATAGATCAGCTCAAACCGACGGTCCACGGGCTTGACTATGTTGAAGCTGGACTACCTTCGAGTCGTCTACCTAGGCTTTTGCTGCCAACTACAATGACCTTTGTGATTATTTGGATGTTCATGCGACGTAGTAAGCTTAAAACGTGGGTTATAACCCTGGATGTAAGTGGGGCATTCCCATCCCAGGATCACATGAAATACAAAATGCCTGGGGGGGGGGGGGTTCAAGGGTTCCCTGGACACAAATCCTCTGGAAACAACGCCAAGGCCCATTTGGATGACTGCCAGCGCAGGAAGCAGGTTTTTGGCTGGGACGAAACCCATGTACGAGAGTCATGTTGTATATACCACTTGTGTTTTGCCAGAGCGCAGTAGTCATGGGATTTGATGGACGGTCAACACATTTGAAGCACTCCCCGGATGTCTCACAAACCATGCTCCTCCAAGGCTTGCAAAAAACTAGCTCACTTGCCAGGACCCATTCAGAGTTCCTTTCAATTTTGAGCTCAAAAGGAGGAACACTCTGTCCCCCAAACAGCAGCTTTCAACATTTAAACCCACAACAAACCAAAAGGTCATTTGGCCATGGGTCAAAACCCCCCCAGTGAACATCCCAATCCCCACTAAAATAGACCAAACTGAGTGGCACCTACCCCAAAATGGTACCATTGGCAATGGTTTTGACCCACAGCCATTTCAGCTCGGGAGTTAAAGGCATTGGATTCTTTCGATCCGAGGCGCTGCAGTGTGGAGTCCACCTGGAAGATCACCTTCAACCTGATGGATCCGGCGGCGAACCATCAATCCGCGCCAAACAAATCGGTGCAGCTGGGAACTTTGAAAGGACCTGCAAAAACATGGTCCAAGAGAGAATCTTAGTTTTGGAGCCACTGAGAAACAAACAGAACAACAAGCCGACCTTGGTGTTGACAACATCCGGGGGAGAAAAAAAAAACTCCGGTGTGTGCCAACCTTGAAGGGTAATTAACACGGAGGTCAACAAAAACAGGATTAGGATTGGACAAATGAAGCGGTCACTTTTGAACGTGGTCGTCGATGAGCGCACAACCATCTCCTACCCGTCATATACCCTCAGGACGAGCGGCGGCCGAAAAGGAGCTTTGAGGTGGTCTTAATATACTGCCGGGGTTTCAATCCAAAACTAGAAACAATCCCTTGTGGCTCCAAATCAGTATGTAAAATCAGGGCTGTCATCGAATGCGAGCCTGCCATTTGATCTCTCTACCTAAATGATGCTTGACGTGTTTTTATGTTTAAGCGTCTTGCCCCCCGCCATTGGCATGCCGGAATCCTTACAATGCCTGTTTACCACATGCGAATGATGTTGCCAAGTACCTTGCACCTATGAAACCTTCAAATGCCCAAGCTAAACACCACACCCAGCAAAAGGAAGCTTATCTACCCAAAGCCATGTAAATAGTCAAAGGGCCGATATACGCACCTATTTTCGGATCTGATGACTCAAACACGCATTGCCAAAATGATGCTTACCGCCCGTGCGAGGGAATACTTATTACTTGGTTTATTCCAGCAGGGTACAGCAGCTATGGCTGCATATGGGGGTGTCTTAAAGTAGAGAACCCTAAAACCAACCCTATCCCTTTGGGTGTTCCTTTGGGCACCCCCAAAAACCGGCACCTCACACCAAAACACGCCCATATCCCACTAACCTCTCGCGAGGTTTTCATCTTCGACTCTTCCGCGGGTCAGCGGGGGCACCGGCCCTTGAAGCGCCAAAAAGCCGCTCTGCCTCTAGGGACACGCCAAAAATGATAGGTGCACTCCGCGTTGCAGCACATCCTGCTCTTGCAAAAGGGGAGTGGTTTCTAGGAACAGGCGAAAGGAACGAGCCACCTGAACAAATTTCGAAAGGGACGCCCAGATTTGGCGGACTTGGCAGCTGTTGTAAACCGGGCGGGTTTTGGATGTATCCCTCTACCGGAGCCCAGTGGTTTATGCTACTATGTCTGAACCAACCAGATAGAACGTTACTGTGCAGCTTGAAACATCTACCAACAAGATACCAATTCAAAAATGCTTTTAGAAAACAAGTGTCAACAAAAAATTGACCAAATTGAAGAAGCATGATGAGATTTGTTTCAAACCATGGAATAAGTGTTCTTGAAAATAAAACAACTTTAATCACATAAACTATTGGGTGATAGAAATAAACTACCTTGTTTTGTCCATCGACTGAACATCCAAAAATGTTTTACTTTTACATTAACAAAGTGAAGGCTAAATCAATGCATGACATATGTTCGCCAATTTGCAATGCCACTAGACAGGATACCACTGGATATGATATGAACCAATTGGCTATTGGATATGAAGGATTATAACACAAGCTCCAATTGTATGTCTAAAATTGTGTAACTCAACCAATCTTATGTTTATCTTTGAAACATGAATCAAACATATTGTTAATGAATGCGCGAATGGATTTACCAAGCTGATGTGTGACATTGAGAGACAGTGTTAGTTCTGGCATAAATGAGGCTAACAAAACCTGATAGTAGAGTTACATATCACTTTCAACAAACAAAAACGTAAGATATTGTAGATGACTATAGATGATTAATTGGCCATCATTATGAAGAATATAAACAACATGCTGATATTATGGGATACGGACAATTAAGTGATGGTATTTTACTTTTAATGTTGCATATCATACATGTGATACACATCTAGGACATATATTAAAACCATGAATGTGAACGGTGTCATAGTCTGAATGGATCTAGTTCAGCTGAACATGGTGGTGGACAAATGAAACTAAATGTAGTGCATTATACAAGACCTGAAGCGGTTGTCATACATGAACTCAATTAAACAATTCTTTGATCCAACAAATATACGTCATCCAGATACAGTTCTTCCATAAAGCTTGTGTGTTGCGCCCAATTCAATGACAAACTGTTTACAGTTGTGTTTAATTGGATTTAGATCTCATTCTGATGTTGAATATGTTTGACCTGATCAGAAACAAGAAACATTGACAAATGATGGGATCTGGATAGATTGATCGCTTAGAACACCAAGTTCAAAAGAATCTATTATTACGTCAATTGCGTACATTATTCATACTAAACACACAACAAATCATACGTATATTGGATAAAACAGAAAAACATGATGCTACTGGCTTAAAGCTAAACGATAATATTCAATTGAGAGGCATTATAAAAGATGCATATAACTTAACACTAAAGTTACCATCAAATGGTTCAGATTCACTAAAACTCATCAAACATATGTGGGGTAGACTAAATATGAAGCAGCATCTGAACATATTTTGGTTTTGCAGTATCCCAGGTTTGGGCCGAGCTTGGTTGACCCGTTCGCTTTTTTCGACCCTGCCCGTTTTTTGGACCCCACAACCGAGAGGCATATAGAAAATTATTTCCAGCCCCCCTTGTTTCCGGTTTGTGAACTATATACTTCCTCAGAATCAGCTCCCTGTTTTGTTTGTTTGCTTTTTCGGGGTCCCTTTGTTTTCCACAAACCTGGCAAAACATGTGCTTTTTGCTGGCGGTCCTAATTCCAGCCTAGTATATATATATATATGTATGTATGTATGTATGTATGTATGTATGTATGTATGTATGTATGTACGCCGAGCTCACCGACCGGGAGTAAGGTAAGCTCACCATGATGAAAATCCTTTACTCGGGCATTCCTTCGGAACTTTTGCAGATTGAAGCTGTTTGGCCTGATGCTTGTGGAAAATTTGGTTTTAGGACCAATTTCTGTGAGTTGCCAAGAAGTGATGCAGTAGGCACGGGGATCGCCTACTCCAACTACCCACTTGTTTTTGGGCGGACCCCAGTAACCAAAAATAAGGGTAGAGTTAAACATGTTGACCCCGTGTGCCCGCCCATTGCTTAAACATCTTAAACTATTAAACCTCTTTCAACCACCTTGCAAATGATCTGGTAAAATAGATGGGTTTCCCAAACAACTTAGGCATAAAACCACACTAAACCAGCGTAACCCATCTATTTCTAAACAAACTAACCTAAGCAGGACACCTGGTCCGGCAGGTAGCCTGAATCCCAAGCCAAGCGATCGGATCGAATGATCCGCGCCTGTATCCTGGTGGCACCATGCGCGCCGCAAGGAAGCGCTGCTGGCCTCGGTTCTCATAAAATTCACCTTCTGCTAAACAAATAAGTCAATTAGTAAATTAGTTGATGCTCATAACAACAAATACATCAATACCAAGCAATGAATGAATAAATACAAACAAAATACATAAATAAACAGATACAAAAGCACAAATAAATAATTGCAAAAATAAAAGAAACAATAAAGCGATAAATCAGTACATCAATAAATTGATAAATACAGTAGATAAACGTAAACAGGTGTGTATATATATATATATATATACGTGAGCAGGGTGTTTTTTTTCCAGATAAACAACCCCTAACATAAACAACCCCTAAAAACTGGTGGACTCCTGTTGGTTTTCCTTTAGACCTGTCCCAAAGCAGGTCCAACATTTTGAGACATACCCTCATATACATCTAAATCTCTCTCTCCCTCGATAAATATATCTATACATATATATATGCATATATATATATATGTATACATGGGTCCGTGTGCAAATATACAGCGCTGTAGGGGGAACGCGGGTTCCCGTTGGGGGGAGTGACTTTCCTACCGTGCGAACACCCAAACTTGCAGGTTGCCAGGTTTTTGCGGAGAAAAACAAACTCTTGTGAATAGAGGGGAGTATTCCTCCCAAAAACACTGGTTCTATTGAAAGCCCTACAAACAGCGGAAGGCCCCTGGCATTATCTCATTCATCCAGAGTTTGCGACTTCTCCACGCGCAATTGCGCCCTGCGTGGTTCGGAAAGTGACATAGTCAGGTCCAACAAAATTACTCCCTCCGCAAGTTTGAGCGGGCACAGTGCGTGGCGATGAGATGCACAAGCGGGTTCCAAACCTCTTCCGGGTTGTTTGAATGTCGGAGATGGGGGGCTGATCAGAAGGTCCGTGATACATGTGCTGACCATCAGGGAGACCACCAAAACAGATGGCTTTCCCAACCAATCGGGAAATGTTACCCTCAGTTGTTCAGTGACCCTGGAAGAAAAGGGAATGGGGCAGCCACCAAACAAAAAAGGATAAAAAAGGGGGAAGAAGGGTGCCACTGAACAACTGAGCCACACTGAGCCAGGAAATTTTAGCAACCCATGACCTGTGAAAAGCCCGAGCCGGCCGCCGGCCTGGGTCCGGGTGCAAGCGCAAGGGCCGCCGGAAGGCATCCAAGGACGTGTAGGCCCAAACCGCTTTGGGCCGATCCTCACACGGCTTCACCCCAAAACGCGAGACACAGAACGGAGGGGCGGAGCATGAGGGAAGCCCCCCCCCCCCCCCCGATTTTTTCGGAGTATAATTTGAACAAACCGGCTTAAGGGTAACCCCGGGTTTTGGGGGTTCAAATATACAACCCAACGGTATTTCTTTGTCAAGGAAGTACTCAGATTGGCCTTGGAGCCCATGAAAATTCCATTTGGATTCGTGCTTCGGATTCCATGTTAATGCGGGGAGTAAGCGCAGGGAATCACTTCAGCAATTATTTCTTCATCTATTTACGATCCCGTCCTCCGCCCTCCTACCCACCCCCCTCCATGCTGCCCCACAAAGAACTACTCTACATCAACAAGATTAACTTCAGTTGGGCTTATGCACTTCATTGTCTTTTTGGGGTCGTGCTCGAGGAAAGATGTTGACCCTAGGAAAACGGACCAGTTGAACCAAACAAACAAATGCCAGGGTTCCCCCCACGCCCCAAACCTGGGAGTTGGCTGTTGAGGACGAGAAACCCGTAAAGAACCAAAACCATTCAAGGCATATTCCAAAGCCGCAAAGAACAAACACACCCACATTCCTTTGCCTTTGCGAAACCAAAGTTCAGAGCCCCTCAACTTGTGGCCCTTTCGTTCGCACACCACCCTGCGCTCGAGGAGGCGCTTTGCAACACAACGAATTGGGAGAAGGAAGCGAAAGAACAAACAAGCGGGAACCAACACAAGCAACATCGCAAACACAGGAATGAGACCCAAGCAAAACAGAAAGGGCATGAAAGAAGGCAAGGCAAACGCAAAACAACGGGCGCCAGCACCTCCCAACGACTCTTGGCGGTTTGGACGTGGAAACAGCTTTCTTAGCCAAACATGAAAACAAAACAAGGCCAAAGCAGCAAACAGCAGGGACATGAACAGAACCAATGGAAACGCAACAAACTACAACAAGGGAGCATACTTGGCCAGCACTTGATGTGTTGGTGATGGAAGAAAGCGGCTGTTCAAGAGTACAGGTATACCAACAGGCAAGGAGACAAACAATGCAAACGATTCAACACACAGGTCGGACACAAACACAAAAGGACGAACCAACAAACAAACAAACAAACAAACAAGTAAAACACAGGAACGAACGCACGCACGAACGAACCAACCGACCAATCGACCAATCGACCAACTAACACCCGGAACGACGATAAAACCCTGCGGGACGACGGCTTGGGGGTCGCGCCTCATCTTGGTATGTCCAAGAAATCTCTTGGCGCTGCCATCCCTCGCAGGCCCAGCAGGCCGACTTCATCTCCTCAGATTGAGCTGTCGAGTTCTTTGATGAATTTTGGCGTCCGCTTTCGGGCTGGGTCTTTGAAAGCAAACCGAAAGGAAACACGCCAAAAAACCGGGGGGGGGGGGGGGGGCGAACCCAAATTTACTGCTGTGTGCATGTCATGCATGCATGCATGCATGCATGGTATGTGTGTATGTACGTGGGTATGAATGAATGAATGAATGAATGAATGAATGAATGAATGAATGAATGAATGAATGAATGAATGAATGAATGAATGAATGAATGAATGAATGAATGAATGAATGAATGAATGAATGAATGATTGATTGATTGATTGATTGATTTGAATGTATGTATGCATGTATGTATGTATGTATGAATGAATGAATGAATGAATGAATGAATGAATGAATGATTGATTTGAATGTATGTATGTATGTATGTATGTATGTATGTATGTATGTATGTATGTATGTATGTATGTATGTATGTATGTATGTATGTATGTATCTATGTATCTATGTATGTATGTATGTATGTATGTATGTATGTATGTATGTATGTATGTATGTATGTATGTATGTATGTATGTATGTATGTATGTATGTATGTATGTATGTATGTACGTGTGAATGCATGAATGTATGACTGTATGATTGTATGATTGTATGTATGTATGTATGTATGTATGTATGCATGTATGTATGTATGTATGTATGTATGTATGTATGTATGTATGTATGTATGTATGTATGTATGTATGTATGTATGTATGTATGTATGTGTGTATGTATGCATGTACGTATGAATGCATGAATGCATGAATGCATGAAAGCATGAATGTACTATGCATTTATGCACGTACGTATGGATGCATGTGCATGTAGGTATGTAGGTATGTAGGTACGTAGGTAGGTAGGTACGTAGGTACGTAGGTAGGTAGGTAGGTATGCATGAATGTGTACGGCAGCTTTTGCGGGTGTGTCGTTCTTGCGTGTAGCTTGTTCGGATGGTACAGGGAAACCGAAGGAAGCAAAACAATCTGGCGAAAGCTTCCCATCTTGAGCAATGCGTCCAAGCAAGCTGTCATAAGTGACCTGTCCAAGGCGCCAGCACGTCTCTTCCCGAGAGATCCTCAGAGTTGAAGCCCAACAACGCCTGAGGTCACTGCGACGTGGTCCTGTTTGGGGTTTTGCCGGGTCCACAAAGTCACATCCACATTACTCTGCAAATGGTGGTGTAATGGGAAGCCAGCTTACTCTGCGGAAACAGGGGGGCGTAGCAGAGGTTGAATCATGTCTGCAACTGTTGAACTTCCAATACATGAAGGAAGAATTGGACCCTGTAAGGACCCTCATAATGGACGTGCTTTACCCCCAATCTATGAAATAGCCAGGTACAATGAGCAACTGCTGGCTGCTTGGGGGGCTGTTGGTTCTTCGCAAGTTTTGGGGGTTGGCCGGGGTGGCCCGGACGTCTTTCTAGCCGTACCTTCCCTGTTCTTTTCAAGGATCCTCCTGCTCAGCACTGGCCCAAAGGAAATGTTGGCTTCCGAACAGAAGCACAAAAAGGGAATGGGGGATCAACCTTTAGAATGCCCCGTGCTTCCAGTTACTATAGGCAACCGGGGGGAACCATCATGCAACGGCTAGAGGTGAAAATGCCTGGTTGCTTAGGTGGCTTACCTGGAAGCTCTGGCTTGAGGCCCCACGCAAGAGGGGAAGAAGTGTTGTGCGTTGGCGTTTCCAAGCAACTTCCAGCACCGTGCGCGGACGCTCCAAAACACGAATCCTTACATTATACACCTGAACATTGCCTTGCAAATGGTGGTGTCCTTTTATTTTGGTGGAAAAAACATGCTTCAAATGGGCAAAATGTATCTTTTAAGGAGCCCTGTAAAACCACTTTCGTTCAAATTGCTCGAAAACAAACAGCCCCGAAGTAGCCGCCACGTTCCCAAACCTAGCGCTTGGGTTCGGAGCAATGACCCTGGGTAGGGTCCCTCTTGATGCTTTGAGTAGTAAAATAAGGGTGCGCAACTCCCCTGTCCACACCGACAATCACCAGAATGGACTTGTGGAAGTGTTTGTTCAGGCATCAATTTTCTCAGGGTTGTCAAATGATGTACACTCTGATTTGTACTTCCCATACCCACATTTTCAGGGGTGAAAAGTCAAGTCATATCTTTAAAATAAGGCATTTACCATGGGGAAAAAAACATGTTGTCCCAATATATCAAACCACAGATATTCAATTTGGAGCAGGAACCCTACTTCGTGCTCCAAATGTGCCTCACTCTCCTGCCCGCCAACAAGGTTAGAACCAACTATTTCGAGTGCGCAGTTTTCCGGGTGTCTCCAAGACATGGTTCCGGATCCCAAATCCCAAAAGTGTGGGCTTCCCTGACGGCCCATCCTTTTCAAGGTTGGCGCACAATGTAACGAGCTTCTGCTTGCGGTGCTTCAGGGTGAAACATTATGTGAATGAGGCCAAAAGGGCTTCCTCTTCTCCCAAAAAAAACACAGTTAGGCCAACTTCATTCAATCTGCTTCGGGTTCTAGATTGCTCAGTTGGGGGCCTGGAAAAGCACAAAAAACTACTGGGATAAAGGAAGCATGGTGGGCCAGTTTGCACCCAGCTATGTAAAGGGGGGGGCTTGGCTTTGCTCCCTCGGACGCCCCGACCATCGCACCATCGCACCTCCGGCCCAGGCTGAAGGTCGCCGAAAAGAACGCCTCCCGAGCTCGCTCACTTCCGTGCCCAAACCTACCCTCGGGGCCAAAAGGTGGGTTAAGTTTACCAAAATCGGGAAAAAAAGGCTGCGCCATGTTTATGGAGCTTTATCTTAACGGGCAAAAAGGTTAAGTCTGGCAATGTAATGAATGGGGAGCAAGGTCGCAGCAACTGCTTTTGGAACTTTGGCTAACCCAATGGACCAAACACCACTGGAAATCCTGACCAAGCCCCACATGAGCGAATCTACTAGGCATGTGGCACGAAGTTGCTAACCCGAAACTTGATTGACACTTCCGCAGCTCGAGCTTGAAAGTCGCCACGATTCAGGGCAACTGCTCAGCGCAAGCCGGGTGACGGCAACAAAGGGTTCGCTGGACATGGGCTGGGGGTGGGTATGCAACAAGCTAAAGATGCAGATTCTTCTGGCCGCTGCCTGCTACCTGTTCCCGTGTTTCTTCTAACAAGCTCTCTGCAAGTTCACTCTGTACAGGGTGTCTCAGGCAAAAGCATGCTCTGCAAAAGTCCGCTCTTCAGGCACCCTTCGGAAATCACTCACTCAAAGTCTGGCTATGCATCGGGGTATGCAACGAAAGGGCATGCAACCAGTCAGGCGGTTTGTCTAATGAGAGGTATGTACTTGAAGCTACGTAACGCGGGGATGTGTAACGAACGGGGTATGTAACGAGCCAGCAGGTCTTGTTGCAAAGCGTATCTAACGGGGGCATGTAACAAAGGTCCACCTCTGCTCTGTTACATACCCCTCAAACAAATACATCGCCACAGAAATGGTAGTGTTCTTCGGGTTCCCCTTAAAGCTAGATTAGAACTCACTCAGCGCTTCTATCTCCCACTCTAGGTAACCAGGGGAAACCAAAAGGTAAAACCTAGGGGTAAAAATGCCTGGTAACATAGTGTGGCAACTGGCCCAAAGGCAGGCAACCCCACGCCTGCGTCGTGATGGCTTCGCTCGGTCGCCATAGGTGTCAGGAAACCATCCGCGTCCATGGTGGCCGAGTTTCCTTTCTTGGCCCAGGACACACGCCCCGCAAGTCCTTTGCGGTAAACGGTGAAATTGAACACCGCCTTTTAGCTGAATCAAGAAGGTTTCTAGATGTACCAGGACCGCCTTTTAGCTGAATCAAGAAGGTTTCTAGATGTACCAGGTGACTTTTTAGCTGTCCCCTTTGAGGCTACAACAAAAACCGGCTTCAAAGCATCAGAATCTTTGTACAGCAAGTGGTTTCTGGATGCAACCTCAACTCGTTTGCCTTATACGTAGGCAAAAGGAAATTGAAAGCCGTGGATTGTGTTCGTAGATCCAGGAGAATACCCTCAACCATGCCTTAGTCGGTGGAAATTGGGCAACCACCATGTCTCGGGCTGAACCAGCGCCCTATGCGGATTCTCCTCGGCAAGGCCCCAACCAAAACCCGTCTTTCTCAGAAATCCAAAGAGTTGGATGAACTGATGAAATATCCCGAACTGTCTCGATTTTTTTGTTCAGTCAATCACTCACATACACTCCAACCATGAGGGGTTTGCCGAAAGTCTGCTGATGCTTGCCGCGGCTCCGACCACATGCAGGCCGTAGAGGGAGTGGTTGTCCCTGAGCCCCACACCCAAGACTTCGCAGGCGCCGCAGTTTAAACGGCAGTAGCTCAAGTCGCAGTGGTACAGAGTGGCGGATTCCTCACAACTTGGTTGCTGTTGACCCCCCTGCACACAGTTTTTTGTTTTTTTTAACTTTCGGGGGGGGGGGGTTAGTGGGAAACCCAACTTGACTTCTCAAAAAGTTACAGTCCAAAGATAATTTTCCCAAGAGGTTTCGGTTGGGCGATATGGCGATTTGGAAGTGGACACCTTTTTCCCCCTATGCCAAATATAAATAGCTTCCGCCTTTTGAGACACATGGTTGAAACCCAGGGATTCCTGTAAATACCTCCTTCTTTAGCCAAGGGTTGACTTCATACCTTTAAGACAGTCCGGGTATCTGAATACGGCAGGGTTCCCCATATTTGCCCTTCAATCATCCCCACCACCAAAAGGACCCTGTTAAATCCTGCTTCAAGGCTGATACCGTACCCATCCAAAAGGGAAAGTATAGGAACCGATGTGGGGCAAGTGTGTGGAAGATCTATTCCACTTCTGTGATACCAATGGAAGGCGAACCAAATACCACATTCTCCCCTCCTTTTGGCCGGGGGGGGGGGGTCTTGGCATTTATCATATTGTGGTATGGTGTCAGCCCCACCAGGAGGTCCTCGCCATGACAAGCCGGGTGTTTCCAAACATACCAACTTCAAAAAGGTGGGAATTGGGGTGTGTCTGTTTGGTGGTTGTTCTGGGACACGAATTGGCTGTGGCTCCAAATGAAAGAGCCAGGGTTACGCAGGTTTTCGTCTTTGTTTCGATTTACCCAGGTGCCATATAGGTATATACATGTTTTTGACCCACAGCCAATTCTTCGGAAGCCACCCCTGGACGGGGGGTTTTCCTTTCTGTTGAATTATAATATTTCACCAACCTGAAATAAGGTGGGGGGCCATTCCCCACATAAACCACCATTCGGGGTGAATTCGGTCGTGTGAGGTCGTTATAAAAAGCCGGGAGCTTCCAAACATACTATGTCTGTTTTGGTGGTTGTCCTGGGACATCAATTCTTCGGAAGCTACCCCTGGACCGGCGAGGTCGCCCTTTGAGAGAAACCCAGTTGCACGGTCCTGGAAGACCATGGCGATAACTTTGGCCGCCTGAAGCCCGTCGGACGCCATGGGGTTCCACGCCACATCCACATCCGCCAGCTGCCCGCCTCCCGAAAAGGGAAGTGCAGCTGGAGCTGCTGCCGTTTGGGTGGCTCGTCTTTTGTTAGGTTGGACCCGTTGGACCACCTCCAAAACGGCGCCACGGTGTTCATGTCGGCTTTCTTCCCGGTAAAAGCCTCAAACAAACAGAGGTGTATCCTCAAAACAAGACGCACCCATTTCTTGTGCCTCAACATAGGCCCCTTTTTTGGTTGGTTAAAGGGAACCCAAAACAACTCCCAGGCTAATTCACTGGGTTGCTCCTTCTGCCCCAACTACGAGCAAAAGGCCAAACGAGTCCTTTTGCACGCAAAAGCCACTTAATCTGTTTCCTTCGGGTCTCTCCTTTTGGAGCGATTCGGTCACACGAACCGAATCGCCATGCCCAATAATTCAATTGTAGGAAACCCTAGCCCTGGTTTAAACATGCGGCTGTGTCTACTTTGAGGTACGTACCCTTTTTGGTTGGTCTTAGTTTGGGAAACCAAAAGGACACAGTTTTACTCCATTTCTGAAGGTGCGATTCCTGAAACAGAACGAGCCACCCGTGCTTGAATATCCATCGTGATTCCACATCCATGGGCTCCGGTGCTCGAAAAGAGCAACTCGGGAAACATAAAATATGCGGAGACGTGCACTCAGGTGGTTCTAACAGGGATCCTTACATTATACACCTGAGCATTGCCTTGCTAATGGTGGATTCCCTTTATTGTGGTGGAAAAAGAACCATGTTTCAAATGGTTGCAAAATGGAGATCTGTTAAGGAGCCCTGTTCTAACCATCAAGATTCCTTGCGAGATGCGCCGAAAAAACCACAAAAAGCGTGTGTGTGGGGGGGGGGGGTCTTTTTGAGGGTGCCCGTCTTGGTGCGGGGAAACCAACGGACATCTACCCATTTGAGGGGTCTGTTGTAAGCAATACCCCAAAAAAGCAACGACTGCAAGGGGTTCCTTACCTCTTGGAGAGCGCGGCTGAAAATTGTTTCTTACCGAGAACTCAGAAATTATCATCCCCTTTTGACCCCAGACATTGGGTTCATTGGGGTCATTGGCTTCTACCTCTTGTTCTCATCAGAGGAAACCTCTCGGGGCATCGAGCCTGTGCGGGCGTTCTCCAAGATGCCCCGGAAGAGTGCAGCCATGCCGCAGCCTCCGTTCAGCAAAAGCCCACGCCGGAACCCAGTCGCGGTTTTCATTCATGGAAAAACCTACCTGTGGATGGTTGCGAAATCCATTTCGCACAACAGAAGCCATGGAATCCATAAAGTATTTACAAGGGAATCGAATCAGAAACCAGGGTTTCTGGATGGTGGTGCGAAATGGATTTTGTCCATCCACAGTACCACCCAAATCATCCCAAATCTAACTTTCTACCCCTCCAGGTTGGTCTGAGCGAAAGGAATTTGTTAAAGTGGCTTTGCGTAGCCATCCTCCAAACAGGCAAGAACAGCGATGGAGAACTGACAATAGTTGGATCCCTCTAGGATGATTTTTCCACCCAAGATAACAACTTGTTTGGGTGTAAATTTGGGTCTCAGGCAAGTGGACAAGGGGCTTCAATAAGAATGTAGGTGGTCTTCCCGAACCCTGCCAGCTTCCATCTTAACTTGCTGGTCAAAGTCGGGTTTCAACAGCTGGTTCCAGCCAGACGAAGACAACCAAAGGTTCAAAAGCTGGTTTTGCACCAACCATTGGGTTCCAACCAACGAACAGTTGGCTTTGGAGTTCCTACTTCACGCAATGCGGGTGACGAGCACCTCACTCAGCTCTCGCATCCCACCCCAGCCTGTGAGGCGGTTGCGCCGCAAGGACAGCCTACCGGCCCGACGAAAAAAGAAGAAGAACAAAAAAAGCAGAAACCCAACGAACTTGCGATGCGAGAAACTCCAAACCCCGTTGTTTCGCTGTTCACCCTCCCCGCCCGGAATCTCCAAGCATCAACTTGTTGAAAGGTATGATGTCAGCCATGACTAAACAATAAGGCATTCACCATGAACAAACAGTGTTGGAAGATTAGGCCTTGCAAGATATTGGTAGGTTCCATGTATCCTTCCAAATATGAGCTACTCGTTGTGCTGACCTTGACACATTCCCAATTCCCTTTCAAAGCAGCAAACATGGAGAGTTCCCAATTCTCACCAAGGAACAGCCAAACTGCGAACGACCGCCCCCCTTGGAACCCTCAGCGGAGATCCGTTCACCAACCTGAGATCCGGAAACCCTACGAGGTCCGGTCGTAGTTTCCCCTGCCGCCACAATTCGCCCAGGCGGCCAAGGAAACCATGTGGGCACAAACGTCTTTGTGGACGGCACCCTTTGGCTTGGAAGGGAAATCAAAAGGATGCCAGTTTTGGTCTAGGTCCTCCAGTGGAGAGGTTAGAATAAGGGTACCCTTTTGGCACACGGCGGGCGACGATTCGCCGGCTGACGGAGGGGCATGCCGCCCAACCATCTGTCCAGGCCTAGTGGGACAGGTGCCCACCAGTGACACATACCACAGACTGTGGCAGAAAGCACACCACGAGGTGAAACAGCCTCCGAGGGCAGGCAGCCCTCACATCCAAGCCCACATCACGTAGGCCCAGCGGCACAGGCCGCAAGCGCCACTGCATCCAGCGCCATCAAGCGAGGGACCCCAGGGAAAAGGCCCAATCGCGAGGGACGCGGCCCAGACGGGCCGCCCGCATCCGAGCCCTCTCAAGGAAGGCATCTTCCTCCGGAGTGCACAGCAAGCGCACTCCAGAGAAAGCCCCCCGGGGCCACGCCAGGCCCGCATACGCACCCAAACGGGGCTCCCACTTGCCTGGAAAAGCAAGAGGGGCCCTCCGGGTGACACAACGCCGAGCTGCTTTGAAGTGTACCAGCAGGTCTTGCACTGTGGCAGCACGGCCATCCTGGTAGGGCAGGATGACGGGGTAGCGCCTCCACACCACCAACGCAACCGCCAGGCCCGGCTGAAAGGCGTCCTCAGCGCGTAGCCAAACCGCACCATGAAGGAAGCTGCTCCACGCCTCCCAGGACGAGGCACCCATAACCCAATCATCAGGCTTCCCCGGCGGGGGGCCCGGTGCAGGCTCCGGGGGAGGGGCAGGAGCCACAGGGCACAGGGCTTCACCAGGGTCAGGGGCAGGCACAGGGGGAAGGGGGGTGCGCGGCAGGGCAAGGAACAGGCTCTGCAACCACAAGTGACGGCGGTAGGTGGCGAAGAAGAGAGCATGAAGCCTGCGGGCAGGGACAGCCAAGGAAACCCTAGCGGCAGACTTGGCCGCAAGGTCAGCAGCATGGTTGCACCGGGCATGCAGGGCCTCAATTGGATGAGTAGCAGCCGAGATGACCACATGCCCTCGAATCCAATGAAGCTCAAGGATGAAACCACCCACCGCACGCGACCGGACAAGGGACCACAGGACCTGCCAGAGGTCAGCAGCCGCTATGTGGGGAGCAACCACACCAGTCGCACAAATTGCCTGCCACGCCTGGACGGCAGACTGGGAGTCGGTATGCACAACCAGGTGCCCCCGAACGTGCATGGCCGCACGCACAATGGCATACACCTCCGCACGATAGTTGTCCGCAAAAACACCCGGAACCGCACCAGCATCGACAGTGGCGCGCGACCCAGACACGACGGCATAGCCGGCAGCGGCCAAGAAAGGGTGCTGCGGCAAGTAGACACTACCATCAGTCCAGAGGTGAGTGGCGTGCCCAAGGCCATAGCGCGGCCAAGGGGAAGTAGGAGGCCACAGCTGGGCAGCACAGAACGCCGACTGCAGATCGGCAGGGACCTCAAGCAGACCATGAGTGGCAAAGGCAGGCCCCTGATCGGGAACAAGAGGGGGGGGAGTGCCAACCTCCTCAGGCAGGGCCTGACACACAACGAGGTGACCAATGGTCTCCTGTTCCCGCCCACAGTACCGACAGAGGGGGCTACCAGACACGCCCGAGGCATGGAGCCGGTCCGCAGTGACAGCCGAACCAACAACAACCGCCGGGGCCACAGCCTTCCTGGAAGGCAGGAGACGGGAAAAGGAGGTCCACCGCGGACACGGGGGAACACTCCAGGGAGAGCGAGAAAAGGCCACATCCAGGAGACCAGTAGGGCCATGCGCAATGTCCGCACGCTTGCCCCGGCAGGCCCTGGCATAGGCATGCTGAGGAATAGTCCACTGGAGCAAACGCTTAAGCGAGCGCAGAGACATGCCAAACAGGGAGAGCCAGGGGCCATGATCAAAGGCAACGGAGGCAGGGGCCTGAAACCGGAGACCGCACGCCGTGAGCGCCGACACAAAGGTGGCCACAAGGGTGGAAGGCATCAGGCGCTGATTGGTAAAGGCGATCCGCCACTTGAGGCTGAAGACCTCCGAGCGTTGGAGATGGGCCGCAACATTAAGAATAGTGCGGTATGGCAGCGCATACTCAGGATGGACCAAGTGGCCGGGATGGACAACCGCGAGCAGGAGTTCACGGGACCTCCACATGGGCCGACCATCCCAGAGCACTGAGGCTACCTCCGAAGCCAAGGCAGAAAGGATGCGCTTGGGCACAAAGTTGAGCTCAGCGGCATACGACAGCATGGGCATGGCCTTGCGGGCAACATAGGACGCTTTAGAAGCAGCAGAGAGAGGGAGGCTCCTGATGGCCCGGAGTGCTCGCCTGAAGCTCGCAACAGCCGGTGCACGGGCATCGCGGGTACCGCGGAGGTCAAGGTTGATTGTGACCCCCAAGGAGCTCCGCCACACAAGCATCCTGAGTGGCCCACCAACCTGACTTGTGGAGCCTGGACCAAGCTGGGGATCGCATCCAAGGTGGTCACGGTCATATACCCGTCATCAACAAAGACACGGGGCGTGACACCAGGGAAGTGCCGAATCAGGAGGGACCACGCCGTCATCAGCACATTGGCCGCAAGCACGGACATGGAGCACCCCTGGGCAATACCATTGTGGTTGGCCAGGGGCTCAGGGTGAACCGCACCACGCCAAGACAAAAAGCGACGAAAGCCATCGTAGTTCCCACACCAGGCGCGAGCAACAGCCACAGGGAAACCCAAGGCAGTGAGGAGCGCCACAATCTGCCTAGGCATAAGGCGATCAAAACACTTGGAGCGATCAACCTGGATGCCCGCAAAGGGGGCGTCAGTGGCACGCGCCTCATGGAAATCCAGCGCCATGTGATGGGTGATGTCCTCCACACGGCGACCAGGGACACCACCGACCACCTCAGGCGGTAACACAGCCCGTTGCCACGCAGTGGAGGCTCGAAACCTTGCCGACGACCACGCCAGGTAGCAGATAGGAAGGACGGCTATGAGCCTCTTGGACAAAGGGGCGGGGCCAGCACCCTTGTCCAGAACAGCCAAGCGAGCAGTGCCGAATATGCGCGGCATGGGCCACCGACCCAGCTCCACCTGCTGAAGAAGATAGGCGAGGAGCCGGAACACAGGGATAGGCAGTGCGCGGAGCTCAACGGCCCTCCACCCGTCCAAGCCAGCAGACGAATCAGGGCTCCGGCGAGCAACAGAGGCAGCCAGGTCTTCAGCAGACACGGGCCAAAACCAAGGGAGAGGCACGCTGCTCAAGGAGATGCTGGACAGGGCGCATGAGCGGATCCACAGGAAAGTCCTCCGCATGCACCTCAAAGACAGTGTTCCACTGGTCCGCAGCATGCGCAAGGGCCACCGCAGGATGGTACGCCGGGGCACCATCAGGACCAGCCAGGGAGTTGGAGTGGGTAGCCAGGGTGGCACTGCGCAGGTGAGCGAACACCTCCTTACCTGAGTGAAGGGCCGAATGGCGGAGACGCTCCTTCCAACGCGCAACAGCGGCGCGCTGCCGCGTGAGGTGGGGCCGGGGTGAGGTCCTCGGCCGTATAGGCAAACCGAAGTTCCCGAGCGACCCGGCAAAAGCGCCTAAGGGTGCGGTGCGTGACCTGAGCATCAGCAACCGAGGTAAGCGGGAGCCGCACCAACCGATAGAAGAGCTCACGCGACAGAGACAGAAGTCTGGCCAAGCGGGCAATGGGATGGTATGACGGAAAGGGGCGCCCGAAGGCCTGCTGGGGGCGCAGCGGGGGCAGGGTACCCCGACAACGGCGGCCACGCCCCCACCGGGCACCAGACTGGAGAAGAGTGGCAAGCGCAAAGTCACAGAAGAGAGACCAAGCATCCTCCACAGTTCCAAGGGAATCCAGGGCGGGCCGGTACGTGGACTGCCACATGTCCTCAGCAAGAACAGCGCGCTGGTCCTCAGAGGCAAGCCCAGTCAAGTCGAGCGGAGCAAAGGCAGCGAAAGCAACAGCCCGTGGGACCTCATCCGGAGCCGCAAACCTCAAGGTCACAGGGGCATGCTGAAAGCCACACAAGGGCTCCACTTCAGCCGACTGGAGCAGGCGAGAAGCAAGGCCGTTGAGCAAAACCGTGTCGATGGCCGTACGGGGGCCAGACCCAAGCCAGGTCTTGTCACGACTGAAAGTGGGCTCCCTCATGGTCGCCTCCGTCGGAGGCTGCAAGGGGTCCAGCCAGACCCCGGTAGCTACAGCATCCGCATAGGCCAAGGGGTCGGCCTGGAAATCGCCGGCAAGAACCACAGGGTGATCAGCAGTGTACTGGGCTGCAAACTCAAAAATGGCAGCGAGGTAGTCCTGATTCTGGCTGAAGATCACATCGTCAGAGGAGGCACCAGAAATCGCATAAAAGTTGAGCGCAAGCATGCGAAAAGAACCGAGCGTGGCCCACACTGCATGGAAGCGGCCAGAAGCCAGTAGTGAGGGCAGAAGCCCAGATGCATCCTGCTGGGGAGCAACAGGATGAACAACAC